CCCTCATTCCTTGTCAGTTTGAACTCCTATCAACAAACAGTTGAAAGGAGTCGCCGATGTAAATGTTGCAGGGTCTGAGTTTTTCTTCCTTCATTTGCTCCGTTGCCTTCGGCTGGGCTCCTATTTGCTTGCTTGAACATCATTCACCTCGGCTCAACGGAACCCGATGTACAATGGATCCTAGCATGAACTCGGCCACGAAGTCGGCCAAAACTTGGCCTTTGATTGTTGTTCTAGGTCTGTATTCCAGGTCATACTGGCCCAAGACCACTGCCCACCTGGCTATTCTTCCTATCAGATCTCCCTACTGCAACAAGGACTTCAAAAGATGTTCAGTTAGCACCACAATTTTGTGGGCTTGAAAGTAATGGTTCAACTTCTTTGAAGCCATTACTAAAGCCAGCGTTAACTTCTCCAACGGTAAATACCTAGTTTCTGCATCAGCCAGGGTTTTACTCACGTAGTAAACTGCTTTTTGCTTCCCATTTTCTTCTCGGATTACCATTGCGCTTATCGCATGTTCCGAAACTGCTAAGTACAGAAACAGCTCCTCTCCAGGTTCTGGATTTGAGAGAACTAGAGTCGTGGTCAAATTCTTTTTCAAGTCGGCCGAGGCGACTTCGCACTCTTCTGTCTATACGAAGTCTGTGGCCTTCTTTACTAAGCTGAAGAAGGGTTTGCATTTGTCAGAACTTCTGCTTATGAACCTATTCAGGGTTGTAGCCCTTCCAGTCAACATTTGTACTTGCTTCGCCGATGTTGAGCTTTTCAGTTCTAGGATGGCCTTGATCTGATCTGGGTTGGCTTCAATGCCCCTTCTGGTCACCAAGTATCTCAAGAACTTACCAGATCCAACTCCAAATGCACACTTCGATACATTGAGTCAGAGCTGATATATTTTTAGGATGTCAAAGACTGCCTTTAAGTCTTCCAGATGGTCCTTAGGTTCCCTGGTCTTCACGACCATGTCATCGATGTATACCTCCACTGTTTGGCCAATTAACTGTCTGAACATCTTGGTTACCAATCTTTAGTAAGTTGCTCTTGCATTTTTTAACCCAAAAGGCATCACTCTATAGTAATACAGCCCCTTTGGGGTGATAAACGCAGTCTTCTCCTCATCTGGAGGGTGCATGGCTATCTGATGGTACCCCTTGTAGGCATCCAAGAAGCTCATCCTTCCATGCCCTAAAGTGGCATCCACCAGTTGGTCAATCTTGAGTAAAGGAAAACTGTCTTTGGGACAAGCCTTGTTTAGGCTGGTAAAGTCCACGCAGACCCTCCATTTACCATTCTTTTTCTTCACTACCACTGTGTTCGATAGCCATGTCGGGTAATTCACCTCTCGAATGGCTCTGGCCTCCAAAAGTCTGTCTACTTCCTCTTCCACTGCCTCAACATGCAATAACGTCGGTCTTCTTGCCCGTTAGATTACAGGTTTGGCCAACCTGTCTACGTTCAGTTTCTGGCAAGTGACCTTGGGGTCAATGCCTGGCATTTCGTAAGGCGTCCAGGCAAACACTTCAATATTTGTTCTCAAGAAAGCCTCCAGTTCTTTTTCCTCTTCTTCGGCTAAGCCCGAGCTGAAAAGGAATAAGCATTCTTCATCCCTCTGCTGGACGAGGATTTTCTTTAGGGCTTATTCACTCTTCTCGGTTGGCTCCTTGCCGACGTCCTCTAGGACTTCCACGTCATCGTCTTCGATCTCTGCCCTTTCTGGTTCTCGTATGCTGTAGGTAGATTTCATTGCTACCATGGAACAGTTCTTTGCCTACAGCTGATCCCCTCTGACCTCCTCTATCACATGCTCTGTTGGAAACCGCAATAGCTGATGCAATGTTGAGGGAACAACCCTCATTGCATGCAACCATGGCCTTCCTAAGATAGCATTGTAAGGGGAGGGTGTGTCGATTACGGTGAACTCTGTCTTTATCTTCTTGGTGTCAGCCTTCACCTCCAAGCTTGCTGCTCCTAGTGGCCACGTCGGCGTTCCATTGAACCCGACCATTAGGTCATTGGATTGCTCCATATCGTCTAGGTGAAGGCCAAGCTCCTTGTAACACCTGACATACATGATGTCACAAGAGCTGCCTTGGTCAATTAGGATGCACTTCACTTGGTACTCCCCAACCTGGAAGGATACTACCAAGGCATCGTTGTGTGGATGTTGTACCATCTCCAGGTCAGCTTCAGTAAAGGACACTACTGGTCCCTGGCACTCCTCGGCCCGAGGTCTCTTCTGCTGGACCCGATACACATGCTGCAAGTGCTTTACCTTCTGGGTCTCCCCCCGTATTTCGTTTTCGTTGACCTTCGAGTGAATTACATTAATTACCCGAGATTCGCCTACCTGCAGTTGCTGTGCTGGGAGAGGTGGAGCTGCTGGTGCCTGAGGTAGTCTTGCCTGCTCTTCCCTTGTCCTGGCCTCATCTACAAGGTCCCTTAAATGGCCATGCCTTACCAGGTCTTCCAGGTGTGCCTTCAGGGCTCTGCAACCTTGAGTCAGATGCCCATCTTCATTGTGGTAAGCACAATGCTTATCAAGGCTTCTTCCCATAAATTCTCCTGGTACCCTTGTTGGTGCTCTGAAGTAGGGTTGGGTTCGGATTTTATCTAGGACTTTGTGAATTGGGATTCGGAATACAGTTGTGACTGTCTGTGCAGCCCTCAGTCCTATCTCTTGCTTGTTGGATCCGTTGTTACCTCAGCCTCGCTTTGGCGAGCCATTTCCTTTCTCTTGCTTTGTCGCCTTAGTCCTTGGCATGTCGTCCTTGGCTCTGGCATATTTCTCAATTCTAGCTATAAGTTCCTCCATGCTTTTTGGCAATGTCTTTGCCAGTGATTTTCAAAGAAGGCAATCATCTTTTAGGCCGTTTTTAAATGATACGACGGCCACTTCTTGGTTGCATTCTAGTATTCAGTTGAATACCTCATAATATCTCTTGGCATAGGCCTTCATGCTTTTGTCCTCGCCAATCTTCAGAGCCATCCGGGCGTCTACCCTCAAGGGCTATAGTTTGTTTGTTACGAACCTGGCCACAAACATCTCGGCCAGGCCTTCCCAAGTTTTCACAGTTCCTTTCGGCAACTTGTGAAACCAGTCCGATACGATTTCTCCGAAGGATGAGAGGAACACCTTGTAGAGTAACGGCTCGTTCCCAGTGTACAAGGCCATCGAGTTCAGGTATAAACCGACGTGAAAGTTGGGGTCCGACTTACCATCGTATATCTGTAACCTCGGCATACGGAACCTTTTCGGAGCCTCAAATTTGTCCAACTCTACCGAGAATGGAGTTCTTGGCTTAACCGGGGAAGATACCTCGACATTTTGTTGCTTCCTCTTGAGGTAATCTCTAAAGTCCTCTTTGGTCCGCCCAAGAGCTCGGCTATCTCCTGATTTCAGTCTTTTTGGTGCACTACTGCCTGTGTCATTGTCTGTCCTCTTGGTCCTTTCTCCATTGGTTGCGTCGAAGCACAACTCCTGCCCTTAGACATGTCGATGCTATTTGGGGTCGGCTTCCTTGGTGCGATTCGTCCTCCTTGATTCTTCCCTTCTTGACTCCCCTCGCTCGACCTCCCTTGAAAGCCAGTGAGAGTGTTTCTCAGCCCTGGTGTGCTGGGGAACTGTAGAGACTGTTTTCTGCCCCTCTTTTTGGGCATCTTTCTTTGCCGCTGGAATCGGCGTATCTTTTAGTGGGTATGGTGGTTGCATGACGTTATTCTGCATCATGAAGTTGACCACTGTCTGCAGGTCCACCAATTTATTCGCCATGGTCTTTACCTCATCGTCCCTCCGTAGGCATCTTTCTTTCCATACCTGGAGATCGTCCTCGTTGTAATACCCGCTTCGGTCCGTTTTCTTTGGAACGTCGCCTTCCTGGCCGACGTCCTTTCCTTCGTGATTCTTATCGTGAGTCTCTATGTTGCAATTGTCTCCTTCGACATCAAGGTCTACAGGTTTTCCACTCCTAGTAGGGGTGTCGTTCCCAACCTTCTCTTTCTGTCCGTCGCTGGCCATCTATTCTTCTTTCTTTCCCACAGACGACGCCAAATTGTGTGTGATAATTTCTGACCACACTGCCAATCAAGCACTCAGCTGGAGAACACTGGCAGAATAGATTGAGCCCGAACGATCTGTCACAAAAAGAAAAGATTCCAGTGGTGGTTCGTCCACTAGGGTGCACTCCGACGATCAAGTCAGTTATCTCTCAAAGATAGCAAAAGTGCTTAACTCACTATTCAGAATATCAGAAGACATACCTTAGACCTATGAGGGTGCCTCTCTTCTATAGCCAACACAAACCTAATCTCAAAAGAAGCCTAGCTTCAATGGATTTCAGCTCAGTGCTCATCTTGGACTCTCCAATAGATAAAGATAAACTCCCTAAGAATTTTATCCTTATCCAGGCTGAGGTCCTTACTCATTCTAGGATTCTTGTCCCTTATTCGCTTATTTCGGACTCCGGTATTCTCGCAGATAACCTCGACCTAACTGAGATTATCTCGACATCATGACTAGGACACGTGACACCTCGACTGGCACTTCAGTGACACCCCGACCACATGTTGTCATTCAAAATTCATCTCCCCCACAATATTAATAATCACTTAAAAATAATTCTGACCTTACAAAGAAAACACTCTAACATCTCTCTTAAAAAAAAAAAAAAAAAAAAAAAAAGTTCACTGGAAAGATCTCGACTCCACATGCCATGCCAATTCGGACTATTTTGTTATTATTTTCTTCAATTTCAAGATTTCCAAGTTGCTCTTTGGCTCTCAACACATTGCTCAAATAATTTTTATATATTTATTTTTTTTATTAGGATAGTATTAAGAATATCAAAAAAAAATTTCAATAAATGATTAAATATTTTAAATAGGTGTAAAATTCATATTTTATGAACTCCACAATCATATGAAATATTAATCATTTATTTAGTAAAAAATTTGAGACATATAATATTTTTTTTTTTATAATTATACTATGGGTTCGTTTGGGCTGTGTAACCAAATGATATCAAGCAAACATCTCTGATGAACATAAAAGAAAAAACCCAGTCTCTACATGGACCAAAAAGAAAAGTGCAAGAAAACAGAAAATGGGACTAAAACACTTTAGAAGAGCATTCTCCTCCAATCTCCTTCACGAAAGCCTTGAGATTCAAGTCAGAAGATCCACCTTCCTTCACAGCTTCCCTTGTCAACTCCTTCCATTTCTTTGCATTTCTCCTCATTTCTTCTCCTCTCTCCTCACCCCCCATCACCTCCTCTATGCATCTCTTAACCTCTTCACTCTCAACAATCCCTTCTTCATTTGCCTTCACTCTCACCCCTGTCCCCCACACCTCTGCCATCATCTTCGCATTCGTCCCTTGATCCGACCAACGCGGCACCGCCACCACGGGAACTCCTGAAGCCAAGCTCTCCAACGACGAATTCCACCCACTGTGTGTCACAAAACACCCCAAAGACGGGTGCGAAAGAACCTCCAGTTGAGAACACCACGGCACTATCATCCCTTGTTGCTCGAGTTCTTCCATGCAACTTAGCGCGTCTTCATCATCTTCTTCTTTTTCTTTTTCGCGACTCTCTTCTGGTCTCATCACCCACAAGAATGGCCGATGGCTTTCCAACAAACCACGCGCAATTTCCTCCTTTTGTTGCTTTGGTAGCACTATCATGGTTCCAAACGATATGTAAACCACCGATGATTGGGACTTTGAGTTCAACCATTCAATATATTCCCTTGATTTTTGAAAGAGGTCGCCGCCAAACGAAGTATCCGATGGATCTTGCCCATCTAAGAAAGCCGATGGAATCAAGGGTCCAATTCCAATCAAATTGTAGTTTTGAATAGCTTTCAAGGCCGCGGGTTCTAATGCATCGCAAGTGTTCACAAGTACTTTAGGGTTGGTTTCTTCATCAAGCGTGTCCACAAGTTCTTTGAATATTGTCATCGTATGAGCGTTTGAGCTTGAAGGAATTACAAAAGAGGGAAGGTCATGGCTATAAAGCCGTGGCAATCCGGGTAATTCAATGGACCAGGAGGAGTCATTGTGATTTTTCACAATGTCCTCTTCATATCCATTGAAGTAATAGTAGTAGATATCCAAAACCACGGCGGGTTGAATCCAAAGGAGTGTGAACGGGACGTGACAGTCACGCGCCACTGCGGCCGCCCAAGGGTGGAGGAAGGTGTAGACCAAGTGCGTGACGGGGCAGCCTTCGTCGGAGCTGGTGGTGATAATATCTCTGATTATTTGAGAGCTGTTTTTTTTCATCTGAGAATAGTAGTGTTGCCTATCGTCCCCTGGTTTAAACCCATCATCATAGCCATCCGAAAAGGTGACAAATTTCAAGCCCTCCGGTGTATCGGCGGTCATGCGGCGTTGGGCGGAGAGACTGGTGGTGAAGGTGACGTGAACGCCCATCGAAAGGAGACGCTTGGCGAATTGGAGACAAGGGTTGATGTGGCCTTGAGCAGGAAAAGTGAGGAGGAGGATGTGGCCGTGCACCATATTGGGGTTGGTTTGTTTTTTCTACTCTGCAAAAGCACTTTGTATGGGATTGCCTCGAATTGAAAAGCTTATATACGGATAATTATAAAGAAATGATACATATATATATTTCATAAGGTTTGGTATGAAAGCTAGCTAATCTATATATATATATATATGAAAATGTCTCGTACCTCAAATTTTGTGGCTCAAAAGTGGCTTAAATGGCCAAAACGATTTTGGCTATTTGAGCCACTTTTAAGACACAAAATTTGAGATACGTAGCATTGTCGATATATATATATTGGAAAAATGGGTTTCAAACCTCATGTCTTGTGGAGTTTCAACATTTCAATTTAAATTTTTTGATTTTTTTTTCAAAAAAAAAATTTAGTGTTTATTGATGTAGTCAAAATTTTTTTATTAGTATTTATTAATTTTTTTCAATCCATATGTTTTTTCACATATCTTCTTTTATTGATTTGGTCAAAATCTTCCGATTAGCATTTAAAATCTTCTTATACAAATAATTATAGATACAATCCAGATGTTTACTTTTTAAATTCAAATATATATAACTGAAATAATTGATTAATAATTAAATAAAAAAAATAATATATAAATTTATTTTTTAGATCTATTTTTGATACTTAATGATGTATGAGTGATATAATTAGTTAATAATTAAAGAAGATATAAGAGAGTGTGGCCATTAATATTTTAATTAATTGCTACATCACTGAATTTGAAAATTAGATTTAATTTTTGGTTTTGAATGACAACACCTTGCTTATTTCCACTTTTCAAAAAATACTGTTCAGAAAATTTTACTTTCTTATTTTCCATATTTTTTTGTTTTTACTGAATTTTTTAAATATTTTAAGCAATTTTTTTACTTTTTAGACACACCTAACATAAATACACATAAAAAGTAAACAAATTGTAAAAAAAAATCTTTTAAAAATACACTAAATACCAAAAATACAAAAAAATACAAGAATTCAATACATTTTTTATATTTTTATGTATTTATTAATTTTTTAAAATATTTTTTCACAGATTTTTTACTTTTTAGATACATGTAAGTAAGGTGCATCTAAAAAAGTAAAATATTTAAAATTTAAAAAATATTCACTAAAAACGAAAAAATACGAAAACTAAAAAAATTAATTTTCAAAAAACTTAATCCAAAAAATTCAAACCAAACACACTGTCGTTTTTAAAATGACAATATGTGTTGACTTCTTAACATTTTGTCAAGTGTCATTTCTGTAATTAGAGAGAGGAATTTATATGTCTTTTAAGCCTTTCTCCTGCATTTTTTTTTGTCTCATCTCTTTTTATGATTTTTCTTATGAGTTCAGCTTCTCTCTAGTCCATGGAGAGGTATTGTTCGGCCTAATAAGCTTATTTTTAGGTCCTGATTTAATAATTTAAATTGTTCATATTTTAGAATTCGTCGAGTGTATTATCCCTTTAAAAAATCAAGTCAATCAGATAACGACAACCACGTATTCGAATTAGTTAATTTTGTATGAATCGTTCATGTTTTTTCATAGAAAACTGATCTAAACTTGTGGTTGCCGTTATCCAATTGGCTTGATTTTTTGTTGAGATGATGTATTCAACGAACCTTAAAATATAAACAATTTAGATTATCAAAATAGGACTCAAAATTGAGCCCATTGAGCCGAACAACACCTCTACAGTCTGATTATGGACAGAAGAAAAGCCCCTCTCTCTTCTTATTTCTTATACTAAATGCACCATTTTGTATCTATATTTTTTAATTATTTCAATATATTAATAACATGTGGAAGAAAATTTATGATTTTTGAATGCTTTTACAAAAGAATGATAAAACAAATGTAAAGGTTATTATAAAAAATAATAAATAAAAAAAGAAGACAAAAAATAAGAAAATGAGCTACAAAAATCTGATAGTCTCCCTATAAGAATACATGAATAAGCTTAGGGAATGATATAATATAATTAAGAAAGTCTTCTTTATTTTATTTTTTTTCACGAAGCCCTCTAAAAAAAAAAAAAAAATTTAAAATAGGTCGGTGGTCAATGACTTTCGTGATTAATGTTGTTAGTCCTATTAGTTTTATAATATCACATTAAAATTAATAAAATATTATTGAATTGATGTTGAAATTCCTTTTGTTTGTTGTAAATTGTTTTCATTACAAATATTTTTTTCTCATTTTGTGATATTTGACGACATAAAATGTTAACAAAATAATTTTCAACAATCATTTTATATTGGATTATGTAAAATCATTTACAAAATTATATTTATGCCATTTTATGAGACACTATAATATCTTTTGACTTATTTGAAAGCAGTTTTTAACAAATATTTTCATGTTAGAATGTTTTCATTGTGCTACTAAACAATATCTTAGGTCTAGTTTGGCAACAAACTTTTTTAAGTAACTTTTTAACTTTTTCTAAAAAGATGTACATAAAAATATAGAGAATGATGTGATAACTTATAGTAACTTTTTGACTAAAATATGTAATTCTCAAACGAGGCCTTAGTAGTGAGATAGTCTTATTAAATTAACATTATTGAGATTTTATCTTATTTTAAATAATATGTTTTTGTTATATTTAAATTTATGAACTTTTCTATGGCATCTAAAAAGTTCTTAATTAAAAAAATACAATAATTGCAATAAAATAAATTATTATATTTATATTAAAATTAATTTAATTTATAAAATCTATCTTAAAATCAACTATGAGTTAGAAAATTATCAAATTGAACTCTTAGAATATAATATTTTTATTATTTTGGACGAAAAAAGGGGACACCTGCCAATAAAATATTTGTAAACTTGATTTAATTGAGTTTGATGTTTAACTTTTCAGGTAAAATATGCATGGACAGCTCACCCTTCTTTCATGCATGAAGTGAAAACAGTATGGGAGGGTACTCAGGTGGATGGTTGGGCAGGTTACAAAATAAAAATCAAACCGAAGGAACTTAAACAAGCTTTAAAGAAGTGGAACTTTGAAGTGTTTGGGAATATGGAATCTAAACTGAAGCAAGTTAAACAAAAATTATATGCCCTGGATTTAATTGCTAAGAGTAGAAATCTGGATGAAAATGAAGGTAGGAGGAGCAGAGAGGTGAGGGATTTTTGTTATATTTAAATTTATGAACTTTTCTATGGCATCTAAAAAGTTCTTAATTAAAAAAATACAATAATTGCAATAAAATAAATTATTATATTTATATTAAAATTAATTTAATTTATAAAATCTATCTTAAAATCAACTATGAGTTAGAAAATTATCAAATTGAACTCATAGAATATAATATTATATATTATTTTGGACGAAGAAAGTGAAAACACCTGCCAATAAAATGTTTGCAAACTTGATTTAATTGAGTTTGATGTTTAACTTTTCAGGTAAAATTCATTAAAAAAATAAAAATAAATAAAAAAATAAAACTTTATATGTTTGAATAATTTAAATTATTTATCTAGATTTGTATGATACCTTATGAAAATTGTTATTTATTTTATAATTTTCATTTGAGATAATAAAAGTAGTGAAATTTAAATTATTTTTATAAGTTTTTATTCTTTGACAAATACTTTTTTTTCTTTTTCTAAAAACAAATTGAAAGTAGTTTTATACTTCGACTGCATGACTATTTAGTATACATAATATTATTTGTATTTATAAATGTAAAAATAATATATTTAATTATTAATTTTAAATTAAAAACCGTTGAATTGAAACTGTGCACGGGGTTGAAAACTAGCATGTATATATACATATATACTAGTTTACACAGGGCTGTGTAAGGTATGAGTTATTATTATAGTATTTTTAAGTTTTATATTTTAATAATTTTTTTAAAATTTAAATATTATTTTTATGAAATTAAATAAAATAAATAATTAGATATATGATAGATTTATATGGGATGATATGTATCATTTTCTGATTTGTTATACACTTGATGATGTCGACTTTAATTCTATTACCACATCATTTTGGTGAATTTATGAGTCTTTAACATTACTTTCAATTTATAAATAAAAAAAATTATGTTGTATAATTTTTCTCAACAGATAAATATAAAATAAATATTAAGATAATTCTCTCATCTAAAAAAAACTACTAAAATAAGTTATTGAACTAATAAAGAAGCAGAACAAAATATATATATATATATATATATATATACAAATGACTAATTTTATTAATACATTAATCATACTCTCATAACAAATGATCAATTTTATTCATAAGCAAATCATTAAGTAAATTAACAACTTTTAATGATATGAAAAACATTTTCAATTAACCATTTTGTTAATAAATAAATCATTAAGTCCATTAACAATTTTTCATGATATAAGAAATATTTTTCAATAAATAATTTTGATAATTTATGAATGCGTAGAAGAATAATTGTTTTTTTTTTTTCCCTCTTGGGTATGGTGTTAAATTAAAATTTATAACAAACGATAGTTGTAATTTCTAGTAATATAGGACTGATTCATATTTTAAACAAACTTTATGGGTGCATTTGTAATTTGTTAAAGGAAAAAATATTTATTTTTCATAATTAACCAAGAATATTTGCGTAATTACGAAAAAAACCTACTGCAAAATTGACTAAGAATGTCTACATAATTATAAAAAAAACCTTTACTCAAAATATAGGCTACCATTAATAAATTATTCAAAATGAAAAGATAAAATAGGCAAAAAAATGACAAGCCATAGCAAGAAAGCTTCTTATATATATATATATATATTAGCGATTGACATATGTGATGCGTGTACAATTCAAATAAATAAAAATAAAATATATATTATATATTGTGGGCTAGTCAAGTGATAAAAATCTTCTTTATTTGATATATATAAGTCCAAGATTCAAGTTCCCTCCTCTCGTCTATTTAATTTTTATTTATTTTAAATAAAAAAAATAAACACGTAACAACATTAAAAAATCAAGTGTTCAAAACACCATACATAAAGTATAGAAGATAGATATATATTAGAA